CACTTTAAGAATATGGTCCAATGTAAAGAAGAAATTAAGATTGTGTCAATATCTAGAGCAATGAAAATTGCACAAAATAGACTTTTTTCCATCTAAATTAGGAACCGGGTTCAAGAAATGGGAGCGGAATGGCTTAGTTATGTTGGACCAATTTTTCGACGGAGGAGTCCTGATGTCTTATGAGCAGCTCAGACATAAATACAACCTTTCTAGCCCCATGATTTTTTTTAAATATCTCCAACTGAGACACTATTTACAGAAACACAAAGAATGGGACAAACTATGCACTTTACCCTTCTTTATTTTAATAATTAAAGGGACTATTAAAAAGAAGGTTATATCACACATATATAAGATACTACAAGAAGAACTAACAGATAACAGTTTAAATATATGTTAAATTGTGTCCTTGAACGTGTGAATGTATATGACTGCACCTGATAAAGGGAAATAAAAGAAGTTAAAAATGTAACTGAACTGAGCTGGGCTGAATGAGAACACAGCTCTCTGAGGTTAAATAATTAATATGTATGGCTACAGTATAAAAGGTCTGTCTTATGCTGCTTGGTTTTCCAGTTAAAAACTCAGTTTTTGATTCATTAATTGATTGGCAGTAAAATTGGCAGCTCTTTTCCATGTAAAGGCTAAAAGTAAGCCATGCACCAGAGGACATCACAGGGTACATCACAAGTGAAGTTAATTTTTGTTACCTTAGGACGTTGAGAGCGTTCTCTATTGAGTCTGTGAGGTTTTTCTCTGATGGGTTGTAGACATATTCCTCACAAAATGATGGACGGACACCAAGAATCTCCACCTCGCAGCCTGAAGACACACACACACACATGAGATTACTCCATCTTTTACAGACAGTTCTAATTATTACACATTGCAAATAGTAGCAAACGGACATTGAAGTCAATGCTTACTCCAGCTTTTAACATTATCACTGTGCATTTGTACTCAGGAGGCTGACTTGGTGGTTGTTAATAAATCTTCATCCATAAAGCTTGCTACTGCATGCCTTTCTTTTCTCACAAATACAAAGTTTTACAGTATGTGTGAAGACAAAGGGGTCTAAGCAAGAGTTAGTAAGTAAGTTCAGAAAGAGTTTAATGTCACCTAATGTTTTTATTTGTTTGTCTCTGAATTTAGCTTATGTTTCAAGCAAAGCAGAGCACAAGGCACAGATGTGTTGTGATCAGTGTGTAATCATTATTTCACATCAGGTTAGACTTAGACTTTTATCTCACAATAATCATTCTCTAGCCTTTAAATAGACTCAATTCCAACCAAGCCTCAAACTAAATAGACTTCTGGCATTACGGTTTTATTAATGTTTTTTTTAAAGACTTGAACTTGCTTCTGGTATTGTTTGTAACAGTGTGCTGGAGAATCTATGGAATCTTTAATATTAATATGCATGTGTTGACCTGAAGAGGCCTCAGAGGTCAGTGTTTTATGTAAGGAGGCGCCAGACTGACCGGTGCTACTGATAACATAACGAACTGATCGACACTTTGACATCGACTTACAGTTGCCCATATTTGTTTTGTCCCTCCTCCCAGATGGTGTAAGACTGTTAAGCTTTGTATTTCAAGTTATTTGTATGACTTATAAAAACACCCTTTGGTTTGCATTTATGTGTGCATAGCACAAATACAACAAAGGTGGCTATACAGACAGCTGTACTGATTAAAATAGAAGTTTATCTGTTCTATCAGAATTGCATGAGAAAGACAACGAAAAGACACAAGTGAAACACTTTCTGTGTAGAAAAGCTGTTTAATAGCCAGTCAACCTGCCTGCAGTTTGTAAAATTACACCCATACATGTAGGTGACCCTGCCTGTTTTAGCCCCAACGGTGTGGAATCATCTTCCCCAATCAATCAGATTGGCTATTCTTTTCTTCTTGTTTTATTCTTCCATATGTTAGTATTTATATGTTCCCTATGTATGTATATGATTGTGTATGGTTGTGTATGTGCATATCTATATGTATATATATGCATAAACACATGTTTATGTGTGTTTATATTAATTTGTTTGTTTGTGAAGCACTTTGCAACTGTGTGTTTTATTAAGTGCTATACAAATAAAGCTTTACTTACTTACAACAACAGTTGAGTGTTCAGGTTAACAATTAATGTGCTCACCAGGCCAGTAGTACATGAAAACTTTCCTTCCCAGCTTCTGCAGGGTGACCCATAATGGCTCTGATCCATCCCACCAAAGAGGCAACCGGCTGTCAAGATTGGTCCCAATCAGAAACTCCTTGTTGGAGGCTTCATCCCACATGTAGTTTCCAGTCATCTGATGAACGTTACAATGGCGGCCTGACAAAAAAAAAAAAAACTGTCTTATATATGTCAATGTGCCATTGTTGTCCAAAAAACAAAACATACACACTGGTTTTTTCAGGAATGAACTGAGCTGTTATTACAAATTAAACTATATAAAGTATGTGTGTGAGCTGTTTTTAGACAGGATAGGGAAGTCAGAAAGTATTGGGAGAAGGACTAACATATTGTTGATTTTGATAAAGCAAATTCAGTAAATTCAGGCTAAAGCAAAAGGGAGTCAGCATCAAGCAGCACTGGCTGGTGCAGGATTAAGGGTAGGTGTCAATGAACTGGGTGCGTGTGTGTGCGTGTGTGTGTATGTGTGTGTCTCCAGCCAGTGATTCTTTCAACTGGAGAATGTGCTTCATCAAAACACGCACATCAGCACATCATCAGGGGCAGGCTCCAAAGCTCAAATCCCGTTGGCTAGGATGGACTGTTGTTTTTAGGGCTTAGTAAGCTAGGGGACTGCAATACACATGCATGAATCACACACACATACAGCTGCCAACTAGCGAATATCTCGAATGGTATCCATCTCATTAAGTAATCATACTTAAAGTAGTTAAAGTTATGCGTTTTTGTCCAGAGATTGTGAGCTTGTGTGCCATGCTTCTGTTTTGTTCTTTCTATTAAGCAATTTCTTCTGACACACATTCAGCCAATCCTATTTCTTGCCTTGATAGATTTTAAAGGGGACATATTATGCAAAACCAACTTTTTAATTATTTGATTACTATTATTAGATTACAAGCCATTTTCTTCTTCCTACAGCAGATGTCTATCCGAAAGTGCTGTAGCTAAATTTAAGGAGGAAATTCCATCAGTGTTTAATTCAATGCCATGTCTGAATATAACAGAGTCTTATAACAACTTTAGTCCCGCGTTCTTCGAAATTATTAGAATATCGCTCAATTTGGCATGATAATCTTAAAATTTATAGAAAGGCCCTCCGTAATGCCAGAGGAGCCTATTACTCAACACTAATAGAAGAAAATAAGAACAACC